GTGTGGTGTGGTGTGTGTGTGTGTGTTCAGAGCTCAAGACCCCATAACATTGCAAAGGATTATTAGATTATATTAAAGTCCAACTGAAATAAATGTAAAAATATACTGCCACAGCATACACACCTACTCCTGTCCTGTGTTATCCTTTGAGGAAAAAAATTGCAAACCAAAAGAGAGATCATATATATTTGATGTGTTTTGTTTTCGTGATGGTGCCCCCTAGGGTTTCATTCATTTAACATTGTTCCGGTATATGTCTACATAGATGGAGACTCATTTGACTAAGCAGTTAAATCCTTGTATAAAGATAATGCCAGCTTCTACACAGCAGAGCAGATGGTCCAGACCCATTTCTGTCAGTTGCAGTACACGACACCCCGGGACTGAAAGTGACATATTTTATGGATCTTTCATATTATATTCAGTGCATAACAATAACAGTATAGAACAAACTGTACAATTAACCCAAATGGGGAATGCAATAACTGCAGGAACTTTGGAGTAAAACAAGTGATTTGGATGAATTTTGAGCATATTATTTCCTGCAAGCATCAGAGATGAGTTTTCCTGATTATAATAAATAATATTTTTAGGAACGTTTTATACAATTTTCTGTCTATAATTTCTATTTTTTATTTTTACCATCTTACATTATTTTTTGGTAAATTTTGTGTTTTCTCCTTGATGCCATGGCCATTGTCTTTTAAGCTTTTTGTTGGTTTTAACTGCGTACATTTCTAGGATGGATTTTTAGGATGAAGCTGTTAAGCAGTGAGTTCAAAGTTGAGATCTTAAATAATAATCTAAACATTAAAAATAAAATGTATTTATTAAGTCTCCTTTACAGAAATTAACAAAATGCTATAGGCCAACTGTGTATATTAAGTTTTTGTACACAGGACCCCCTCTTGAAGCTTTGGGAACCACTGCTCTATAGTGTAACACTGGTACTCTGGCAGCATGGCAGCTGCTGTCAATCAAACACCACACCAGCTAGCAGAGACATTTCTGATATTTCCCTGGACATTTTTCTTCCTTTTAATAATGAAAACTATTTACATACATACATACAATGTACATACTTTAAACACTTAGACATTATTTTTGACTACATAAAGGGATGATGAATGTGATGGCAGACTTCTAAATATGCAAAGGTTGGAATTGAGTCTCAGACATGAACCAGCTGTTCACTTAAAGAATCGGAATCCTCTGCTCATTGGCTCAATGTTTGCAACGCCTATCAAAGGCACCCAGTACTTAAAGCCCCTGCAGGGATCTTTCATTTTTTGTTGATGTGTTTCCACCGCCGGATCATTGATTTCAAGGGGAATCTGACTGAATCCGACCCGGCAGGCATTAAGAATAACTATACAGAAACAGACAATTTTCTCACTTGTCTTGTTTGTTTATGTAGGTCATATAGATGCATCAGTATTAAGCTGGGACTGTTTCATAACCAGTGGAAAAACTCCTTGTAGTACGTTCACAGACAAAGTTGCAAGTATATGATGGAAATGCCACTCAGTGTTGGAACAGGTTAGTGGATCCCCGGCTTCACATGTCACACTTTCCTTGAGAAACACACTAAACCCCAAATTGGTTGCTTTCCACACAGACATCTGCCTATTGAATGTAATGAATCCATAAATTGTATTGAAGCTCAGTTATCAAGATCTTAAAGACTCAATGTTGGGGTCATATTTCATTCTCTTCTGCTTAAATATTCTTTGAGCTCATGAACGTTTGCAGACAAAACTGTGTTCACTCCGGTGATGGGAAATTTAAATTGGGATCTTGCCAAAGAGAAGGTGAAAAATAACAGAGGATGCAGAGAAGGTTTAAAAAAATGGATTATGAAGAGGTGAGATAGGGAGAAAAGAAAAGAGGTAGACAGGGATGAAGGCTGGAAAGAAATCAAAATTATTCAGCTTGTTTCTCAGCCAACACTGCTGGAATCTAATAGGATTTCTCCTAAAAGGAGGAGGGAGAGCGAATTATAAAGATGAGATTTTCATTTCATTGCGTTATTATTTTTTTTTCCGCTTTAATCGCCACAGACGGGTTATTATTTCATGGCCCGGGTGCCTGAGGCGACGCGTCTTAATCTCATCTGGAGGTGAGAGTTTGTAATCCCACTCGCAGGCAGAGGCAGGGTGGGGATTTCTGGCAGGGCGTTTATTGCGTTACACACCCTGCATCTGGTGGGACAGTTTATTGCGTTAAACACGGCGCAGCGTCGCTTTATTTTGTCCCCTGAGTTCTGGAGGCGAATGGCAGCATCTGTTGGACCAGAAGCTGCCCCTCATCTGATGGAATTATCTCATCCAAAGCAAACACTTACTGTCAAGGAAAATCTGGGCTGCAAAACGAGTTTTTCTGAGACGCCTCAATGAAGTTTCAACGAGGACCGAATTATTTTCTTTATCTCGTCTTTATCACAAAACAGAATTTATTGAAGTATGTGCTTGATCTCGAGCCGCAGTTTGGATTCATCAACAAGAGGAATCTTGTGGAGAACTCAAGTTTGGCTCTCATTTTAGCTACAATGGGTGATGAGGAATGATGTGGAGGTGCATGAGAGACGCTTGAGGGGTTTTTTTTGGTTTGTCTTTTATAAAAAACGTTTGATATTGTCGAGTGACTATTTGTTCCAGGCTGTTCTTCATCTGTGAAAAGGTTCTATAAAACCTCAATAACACTGCTTCACACTTCATAAACTGGTGGAATTGTGGTACAGTTTTGGGCCGTACAGAGCAGCACACACACTCACATAAACACACTTTTTTATCGTTTAGTGCCTGGCAATAACGAAGTCCAAAGACAGACATGAGAACTCAGCAATCTTATGGCATTCAATATGGCATATTGCAGACAGGACAATAAGGGAATATAAGGGAAACCAGAGGGCATCAGTTTGCATTCAGCACAATGAAGAAAGCAGGTATTGTAGCTTGGAGTGCATGATGATAGTCACAGGCCTCCAGTCTGGTGGTGGTATGGTACAGCACACCACAGTACAGTATGTGATGGAGGTAACAAGACTAAAAAGACTCATCACAGTTTAACACAACTTAATTTGTTGATTTCAGTTTGGCACTTAGATCCATCAGCGTCCAGACAAACTCATATTTAACCTCCAGCTGCAGACAGAAACACTCCAAACGCTCCATTATCTTAGATTAAGGAAATCTGCCTCTTACTATCTCATTTTATTTAATGTTTATTTAATATTACTTATCCAATTCCACTTCCATAAAATAACAAGCCCAAATGTGTAATTTGTTATTGATGATGCTAAATTTATTTCATGAAGGTAGCAGGAAATTGAGAGGACTGCGGATGGTAAGATTCACCAATTTTCATCGGTGCACCCCAGGAAAGCATCAGGTAGAATTTGGGATAAATTTGCGATTCATCGTTTCTAACATCAACTTTGCATTGGTAATTACTAATATATATCTCTTATTAGAGTTACCCGTGTGCCATTATTATTTAGAAATGTGACCAATCATTTTATATTTGGATAGATTCCTCTCTGAATTTTATCTCAAGGCA